AAAATTAAATAATTATTTTAAAAATATATTTTTAAATATTGTTGCTTTTTTCTTAGAAGAGATTTTAAGAGCTCTATAAAGAGGTAAAAGTGTTACTTTAAAAATGTAAAGTGTTATACAATCAATGTATCAGCTTAGAGCCAGGGGAGCACAGCAGTAATATACCTGAATTCACCTGGGAAAGGTTCTGGGCCCTCCTGGAGCACACATGCACGTGGCTAAAATCCAGGCCAGCTGAGACTAAGGATGCACTGTGGTGACAACCCTGTTGGGGTGCCTGTCGCTTTGTCTCTCTCTCTCTCTCTTTTTGAAGAAATAAATAAGCTGAAATAATATTATCAGCTCAGCAGGCCAAAAGGATTGAGATAGTGTTTTCTTTCTTCAAATGCAAACAGGTTAAGGCACAGTTTTTCAAACTTTGAATGCATTTCTGTAATCGAAGCTAACAAATAACATTCTTTTAAAAAGTAACCTAACAAGTGATGTCACATAACATGTGAGCCCAGAGAGGCCAAACACACCAAGGTAATGTTTCTCAGCAATAAGGAAATCCTGTTACACAGCTGTTCACACCACCTCAGCATTTCTAGCTAACTAGAAAAGGTAGTCTCCATTAACAGCAAAATAAATTTCAAATGGGACCCCTCATTAACTGTTTCAAAAATTCTTTACTTGGGCAATTTTTTTTGAGAGGGATTTTTGCTCTAGGGTGTGTGCATGCACTGGCCAGAGAGAGACAGTGAGGCAGAAAGCAAGAAATTTCCCCTTCAGGGATGGCCACAAAGCAATCCCTTCGCCTCCATTCTCCTCTTGGGATCTTGGGCATGCACGCACTCGCGCCTGGTGTGACTTTTAAGCCACCGGGCCCAGGCCTTGAACCACGGTCAACTATGTGGAGTCCATCAATGTAACCATTACACCATCTGCTGGTCCTGAGCAATTTATTTTTTGATAAAAGTCAAATATGTAAGTTGGATTTGTTATTGTTGCTTTTGTTTGTTTGTTTGTTTGTGTTTTTTTTTTAGGTTTTTGCCATAGGGTATATGTGCTCATTGGAGAGAGACAGAGAAAGAGAAAGTGAGAAATCACTCCCTAGAGGGGATGGCCATGCTGCAGTCTCTTCTCCATTTTCCTCTCAGTATTTTGGGTGTGCACACATACACCTGGCATGATTTTCGAGCTGCTGGGTCTGGAACTTGAACTGCTTTTGGCTATGTGAAGAGTCCAGTGCATTAACCACCAAGCCAACTGCTGGCCTCACTGCTCTTAACTTTTTTTCTTTTTTAACAATGATTTAATTTTATTTATTGTTATTATTTTTTAATTTGCTATAGGGCATATGCATTCACCAGAGAGAGACAGAGGAAGAGAAAGAGAAAGTGAGAAAGCAAGCCATCAGATCTAGAACACGAACTGTAGTTGGCTATGAGGGAGTCCAGTGCCCCAACCACCGTAACACCTGCTGGCCCCTGGCTATTGTTAATTTTTAAAACCTATAGTAATTCCCCGTTATCCACAGTTTTGCTTTCTATGGTTTCAGTTACCCACAGTCAACTAATGTCCAAAAACATTAAATGGGAAATTTCAGAAATACACAATTCTTTTTTTTTTTTTTGGAGAGGTTTTTCCACTATAGGGCGCGTGCGCTCGCCAGACAGACAAAGACATAGAGACAGAAAGCGAGAAATCACTCCCAGGGGGGATGGTCACGCCGCAATCCCTTCTCCTCCGTTCTCCTCTCGGGATCTTGGGCACGCACGCACACGTGCCCAGCGTGAGTTTTTTAAGCCACTGGGTCCGGGACACGAACCGTGGTCGACTACATGGGAGTCCAGCGACATAGCCATTACGCTAACTGCTGGTTCCCAGAAATACACAATTCTCAAGTTTAAAATTGTGTGCTGTTCCAAGTAGCATGAAGAAATCTTGTACTGTCCTGCTCCGTCCCACCCAGGACGTGAACCATCCATTTGTCCAGCATATCCACTCTATATTGCTACCCGACCACTAGTCACTTAGTAGCCAGCCATTAAATTAAAAAAATACATGTAGGGTTTGCTATTATTCATGGTTTCAGGCATCTACTGGGTATCTCAGAACATAATTCATATGGATAACAGGAGATTTCCTACATTATAGAATCTTCCAAGTAAATTCTTTTTTTTTGAGCGGTTTTTGCTATCGGGCATGTGCACTCACCAGAAAGATAGAGACAGAGAGACAGAAAGCAAGAACTCCCCCCTGGGAGGATGGCCACACCACAATCCCTTCTTCTCCATTCTCTTCTTGGGATCTCAGGCACACATGCAAACATGCCTGGCCTAAGTTTAAGCCACCGGGTCCGGGACTCAAACCATGGTCGACTACATGGGAGTCCACGACACAGCCATTATACCAACTGCTGGTCCCCCAAGTAAATTCTTATTTAGAAAGAAAGCAAACAGGCCAAGGCAGAGTCTGAAAACTATAATAAAGGCCACTAGTAAACCCAAAGGCACTAATTAAAACCTTTTTTGAGTCCCAAGAACTGTTCTAAAGGATAAATTACAGTCAGTAAACTACAGAAAAAAAAATGTACACAGTGATATTAACACACCATAGTGATGTACAATGCTCACATATTACTAGCACCATGAAACATGAAGCAGAGGGTGAAAACTTGAGAAGATACTGAATGTGAAACTGTCAAAGCAAAGCACTGTGGGTATACATTAGTGCTCGGTGCTACCTCCTTTCCCTCAGTTGGCATAGTCTGTGACTCTATATGCCTAGATCCTATAGCGCAGCTTTTTTGGTAAAGATAGTTATTGGGTCTTTCCTGAAATTATAAATAAAAATTTCTATCTTCAAGCATTTTCCTAAGGCTATTCTCAAAGGAATCCATGATCCAAGAGGTTGAAAAGCATGGCTACTAAAACCTGAGTTAAATGGTGGAGAGATAGGCTGGCCCTGTGACCTGCTGGTTAAAGGAACTGGATCCCACATGGCTGCATAGTCTGATTCTTGGAAAACACTTCAGGTGAACGTGCATGTGTGCCCCAAATCCTAACAAGATGGAGAAATGGAAGAGAAGAGGCTGTGTCATGACCATGTCCCACTGGGGGATGCTTTCTTCCTCTCCGTGTCCCCCTGTGTTTCTCTGGTGAGTACATGTGTCCTCTGCAAATTCAAAGCGAAACAAAAAACTGCCTGTCAAATGAATTTTCAAAACATTAAATGAACTGGACACCTAATCAATACATGCTTAATAGACTTGGGCTAGTCTTGTTACAAGATTAGTTTCTACCTTGGTTATTAAACAGTATCCAGGACTATTTTGGACTAAAAATATTTTTAAAAGGTGTGGAGGTAATATTTATGAGAAATGTCACAGGATTAATGATTGACTACACCTGCCAAGAAATTAGAAAGGGGAACCTGAAAAGAATGGAAAAATATTTAAAAATAATATAAAAAACTAGTTTATAAAAAGTTTAAAATTTGGGACCAGCAGTTGGCATAATGGCTATGTTGCTGGACTCCCGGTTTGAGTCCCAGACCTGGTGGCTTAAACTCATGCAGGGCACGTGTGCATGTGTGCCCTGAGGAGAGGAGAATGAAGGAGAAAGGATTGTGGCCTGGCCATCCCCCTTGGGGGGTAATTTCTTGCTTTCTATTTCTGTCTTTCTGGTGGGTGCACACACCGTATAGCAAAAACCTCTCCAAAAAAAAAAAAAGTTTAAAATTGGAAAAATATTAAAAAAGGGCTGATGAAAGAGACAAAGAATATTATGCATACTGATAGAATGTATAGAAGTAAAATCATAGGGTTTTCTTTTTTCTTTTTAAATAATTATTTTATTTTAACTTTATTTATTTTAATTTGACCAGAGCTGAACAGAGTGAGAATGAGAGAGAGAGAGAAGGAAAGTGAGAAAGCAAGCTGCCAGGTCCAGGACTCAAACCATAGCCGGAGTGGGAGTCCAGTGCCCTTAACCACACCACCTGCCAGCCCCTAGGGTTTTCTTATGAATGGAATTATGTACTCATTCTTGTGAACATAGGAATTGTAATTCAAACACTGTGATTTATGACTGTACCATATCTGGCCCACACATTCAACAGTGAATTTATATTTCCTTTAAATAATGAGAAAAGAAGCTTAAAAAAATGTATTGCTGACATCTGGATTAGAGGCCAACCCTAATAACCAAGATATGTTCATGTTTGTGTATCACTTCTTAAAAGAACTTTATACTTACCACGCCACCAACACACCGATCTCTATTTCTTTTCATTATGTCTATGAAATAAAAGCAAAAAGAACGTTTAGTAAAGAGCCAGATGTCTGCATAATTCTTACATTTTTTAGTTTTAACTTACCCAAAAATTCAGCATGTGAGTTTCGACAATGAAGAAACATAGGTAATTTTGTTTGTTCTGACAGTTCGAACTGTTTTTCAAAATATCTACAAAATAAAAAAAAATAATAATAATTCCTCATTAAAAACTTTATTTTAGCATGAGATAATTATGTCAAATGATTTGTTTTTTAATTAAAGTAATTTTCTCTAGAAATTATAGGATAATTATAGAAAATTATAGGATGAAAATTAAGGAATTCAGACATTTACAATACATCAGGCTTAGCAGAGGACCTTTATAATACAGAACTTTTGGAAAGGAACACTTCATTTTCTGAGTGTACAAAATTATTTTCAGAAAATACACCTTGAACCCTTACCACTCGAGCTTGTGAGCATTATCAGTGGGAGTCAGTGTACTCAAGTCAGAAGCCAAGCATGAAGATGAGTGTTAACCTACTCCATTTTGCAACCAGTTTCTTTCCTTCCTTCCTCTCTCCTTCACCAGAGGGCGTATGTGCTCACTGTAGAGAAAGCACCTTCCGCAGGGGCTGGGACGTGGTTGCACCACAATCCTCTTTCCTCCATTTCTCCATCCCATCAGGAACTCGGTATGCATGTGTACATCTCCAGCATGCTTTTCAAGCCACTGGGACCAGGACTGGGATCGTAATAGCAGCAGACCACGTGGGATCTGACTCCCTCCACACAGTGATTAACTGCTGTTAATTTGGCTTACTAGATATTTTCTTAAAAGGGTTTACCTGTTCTAGGTCCCTTAATTTGGGACAATGACTTCTCTGTGTTTAAGCTTAAACCACTTTTGCTATATTTTCTTGTATCTTGTTTCCAGGACCATTTTTCTGAAGTACCCCTATGCACTCTTAAAAATGCTAAATTTTAAAATTAAAAATAGAAGTGTACATAAAGAAATAGTCTTCCTGGGACCAGCAAGTGGCGTGGTGGCTAAGGCGCTGGACGCTCCCACATGATTGGCCATGGTTCAAATCCTGGACCTGGTGACTTGCTTTCCCACTTTCCCTCTTTCTCTCTCTCTGGTCAAATTAAAAAATGATTGAACACATAAAACTGAATAAATAATTCTTTAAAAAAAAAAAAAGAAATAGTCTTCCTAAAGTTGGTGGTCTTCATTTTTATTGCCCAATGATTTTTTTTTTTAAGAATTATTTTATTTAACTTTATTTATTTTAATTTGATCAGATTTGGGGGTGGGGAGGAAGAGAGAGAGAACAAGAGAGAGAGAGAAAGTGAGAAAGTGAGCTGCCAGGTTCAGGACTCAAACTGTGGTCAGCCATGTGGGAGTCCAGGGCCCCTAACCATGACACAACCCGCTGGCCCTAATGACTAAGTTTTAAAAACACTTTTTCAGGTCAGCAGATGGCATAGAGTTTAAGGCAGCTGGATCCCACATAGATGACTATGCAGTTCAAGTTCCAGACTCAGCGGCTGGATAAACATACTGGCAAATGTGTGTGCATGCCCAGGATCCTGAGAAGGGACTGTAATGTGGCCTACTCCCTGGGCAGGACTGGGATAGGGAGGTGATTTCTCACTTTCCCTTTCTCTCTCTGTCTCTCTCTCTTTCTGGCAAGCATATGCACCCATAGCAAATTTAAAACAAACCGAAACAAAGTCACCTTTTCAGATTCTACTGGGCTGAAATAAGCAAATGTATTTTGTTTTAGGTAGCAAAGTGCTGCAACTAACAGTGTAGGAAATATCAATGAAAACTTAGAAAAGATTTTAAGAATTACGACTAGTCACTATTTCCATAAGCTCTGAAGAAATCCACATGTCAGAGATGGAAGTGCTAGTCATTATGCAACCCTTGCTGTAGATGTAGCTCTGGCTATGGCAGGCAATCTGCTCCACTTCGTGTTTGCCACTCTATGCTGGTACTTTTTTCCTACACGTAAATTTCACGGACCAAGTCATATGACCAACCACAAACTTACAGAATCTAAAATTTTGAAATTAGCTTCCTATTCAAGAATAGCAAAAGTACAATTCATGGCAATAACAGAAGCCCAAATAATGTGCCTACAGAATTTTACATAATTTGAGAAAAGAAAGATCTCGGAGTTCAAGCTAGCTATCTTAAGGAAGCGATGTGGTTAAAAAAAAAAAATTACTCCTATTGGTATGATGTTAACTTTACTTACCATCAAATGACAATTGTCTTTAAAGAAAAAAAAAATCTACCATGGTAACTAGATATAAAAATGTAAGTTTTAGGGGAGGACTTGACATCTATTAAGAGACTTCTGTTTCAGTTATGATTTTAGTTAGTAAATGAAAATCATTCTTTAGGTGACTTAAATTTGCTCATTTAAGTGAAGCTATAATTTGCTTCTGAATATATTAGTGCTTCATACAGTTTAGGGCCAACATTATCCAAGGATAAGGGCTTGAATGGTTCAGCTTGAGTAGCAGTTGTACTTAATGAGGATTGAGGCTAATCCCAAAAGCCCAGTGAATTATACCAGGATACCTTAACACAGGATGGCAATCCGTAATCCCTCTTTTAAGCTGTTTGATGGCAAGGATGGCCTCAATCACTAATCTCTAGGCTCCTCTAAATCTCCAAAAGATTAAAGTCTCACCTGACATCTGATTTTTTTTAAAGACCTATATAGCACCAACATTTTAAAACCCCAAGAAAAATACCCAAAGCAAATTCCTCCTACCCAAGAGAAGAGAACCTACAATAAGGGAGTGTAGTATAGGGCAGAGGAATTGAAAATGTATGGTATGGGCTTAAAGAGCAAATGTTCGGTAACTAAATCAGGCTTTTTTTTTTAATTCTGTTTTTCTTTCTTGATCTTTAAAATGTACTCTTCAAGGGGCCAACTGATGGCATGGTGTGTTAAGACAACTGGATCCCACATGGTCGACTTTGCAGTTCCAGTCTTGGACGCTATGGCTTGAAAAATATACCAGACACACCTGCATCTGTGTCCAAAATCCCAAGAGGAGAATGGAGGAGAAGGAGCTGTGGTACGGCCATCCCCTTGCAGGGTGATTTCTCGCTTTCTCTCTTGCTTTATCTCTCTTTGGTGAGTGTACACAAACCACAGCAAAAACTAAGAACACCCAGAAGAAAAACTTTTCAAACACTTCAAAAACTATAGCTGACAGTTTCCTTCAGGATGTGAGTATTTCTCTAAGAATGGTATTACAATAGCCATGATTTACTGCACATATACTCTGTGCCAGACATGCCATATGGCCATTACAAACCACTGGGCAAGATAGGCAGCTACACTCATTTTGCAGATGAGGAAATTGAGATGTATAGAAAGGATATACAGCCAACATGGCAGTTGTAGATCAGGCAGTTATAAAAGACCTCCTGATTCTAAAGTTCATACTTTACCCTATGTTATATACTGCCTTTACTGACCATTGTTTTTCAGATGCTGCACCTCTAGCACGTTTACTTATTTTCTGTTGCCTCCTAATCCATCAGATCCAATTATTTTCTATTTTTCTCCTTTCATACGTCTTTTTTCAGACTACATTTTAATTTATAAAGAAAGCACCACTAGTTCACTATTTCAGACAGTATCGAAGTACAGACTAAAATCTGAATTCTCCCAAGAATAAACCTAAATTCCACAAACTAATGGTGAACATCCAATGTCCAGCAATAGTAAAATAGTTGTTTCTTGTTTTGCACATTGATCCTATAATCCATTTTAATATCCCTTGTTCTTAAATCATATTCCCCACAACTGAATTCAAGTACTTCTACTAGAATGGCTCATGTATAAATGTATTTGTTAAATGGAAAACACAAATAAGCATCATGTAAAACCTATCTATCTCTATTTCTACTATTAAGATCGAATTAGATGGTTAGCAATCAGGGAATTATGTGTTTCTCTTATGAATTATATACAAGATGTGTGGAATTTGTTCCACTAACTTCTGATATATAATGGGAAAAACAAAAACATCCTAATATCCAACTATATTCTCAACTGATCAAAATTATTTAAAAATCACTCTTACAATTTTACAATAATTTGTAAAGTCAACAAATTTCCTTACTTGAGCTGAATATCTTTGGGACAAAACTGCAGTCGGTCAAAATCTTTAAAAGATAAAAAAAAAAAGACAATTACTCATGACTTGATGCAAAACAAATAAATTATTTTCAAACAAAGCCATTTTAAATGTCCTGGTTAACACTTACCAAGTCCACACTCCCCTATTGCTACAACTTTTCCCTTATTGTTTTCAGCAAGATTTAGCAACTCCATTAAGTAAAGATCAGGGTTATTCTTTTCAAATTCATCACATCTGGTAGGATGACATCCAACTGTACTGAAAAACATCTCTAACACAAAATAATTACTTACAGTTATTTTCTAAATATTTTTTCATATTTAATATGCAGAAGTGAGACAATGTCAAATAATTTCAAATGACCTTTATCAATAGCCATAAATAATTCAAATTACAAGAATTAGGTTAATCATATAAGAATTTTTGAAATAACAAAGTAGGATATAAATATAAAAATGACCCTAATGTATTAATAAAATAATTTAACTCTTTCCAAAGCTTGGTATTTACTGAGTGCTATAGAATAGAGAGTGAAACAATTTTTAGAAATGTCATCATATAATTATATCTTATATTCACCATTCACGTGACTATCTTGATTCACGTACTTAATATAACAATTAAAATGTATTCCCCTTAAGAAGGTTAATAGCAGGGGATGATTAAAAGATATAGAAAAGGAAATTTAGGGGCCAGCAAATAGCATTGTGGTGAAGGTGCTAGATTCTCACATGGTTGACTGTGGTTTAAGTCTTCAACCTGGTGGCTTAAAAACATGCCAGGCGCATGTGCATGCATACCCAAAATCCCAGGAAGAGAATGGACTGCAGCATGGCCATCCCCTCTGGGGCTGATTTCTCACTTTCCCTCTCACTGTCTCTCTCCAGTGAGCACACGCACCCTATGGCAAAAGAGGGACAGCAAGTGGCATGGTGGTTAAGGTGCTAGACATGGCCAACCACAGTTCAAGTCTGAGACCCAGCAGCTTGAAACTCATGCGGGCACATGTGCATGCGTGCCCAGAATCCCAGGACAAGGGACTGCAGTGTAGCCATTCCCAGTGGTGGTGGTGGTGGTGGTGGTGTGGGGGGGTTCACTTTCCCTGTCTCTCCAGTGAGCAAAAACAAAATAAATACATACATACATACATACATACATACATACATACATAAATAATTTTTAAAAAGGAAAGGAAAGGAAAGGAAATTTGTTTTTCTAATACAAAATAAAGCTCACGTATTTGGGGCCAGACCCTGACAGCTTTTATTGTTCAGAACACAAATGAGAAGTCAGAAGCAGTTTCGAGTGGCTTAGAGCTCTTTGCGGCTGGCTCTAATGCTGCTATTGACAGACAAAAGGAGGTAGTGCTTTTAAAGCTGTGAGGACACAGGTACATGCAGAGGAGTGGAAAAGGGCTCAGAGCAGAGATGGGAGAAGTTGGGGATAAAAAATATAGGGCAGAAAATATTCTATTCTTATATGCCTCAAAAATTCCTCAGAATATCATCATTTTTGTCCTATGTCACTGCAGTGGTGCCTGAAGTCTGCATTTTAAAAAGATGAAAAAAAGTGCATTTAATAAGTTTTCTTACATTAAAAAAGACACGTTAGTATTTCCAAAAACGTGGAATGCCTAATTCTCAGTGTCTGGCATATTAGGCATTCAAAGAAGTTAAATAAAAACATGCCAGACAAGTGACTAGGACTTTATGTAACTATGATTCTTTAAGAATCATTGCAAAATTTTAAGATTTTAAAATACATGCAAAATGTATGAACATAAAATGAGTACATAAAAGATTATATAGTATATTATTATTACTTGTATTTCTGGGGACTTGCACAGTGTCTGGTCCACATAATATTAGGTCATTGGAAAAGTCATGATGCATTTTTGCATAGAAAAATACATCGACTCTTCTGATGACTTTATATTGAAAAAAAGGATCCTTCACACAGCTTAAGAGCAAATAAAAAGCAACTCATATCTTAAACACATTACAATACAACCCACACAAAAAATTACACACTAAGAATAAGGTTAAATTTTGTCACTAAAGAACTTTATTCCATTAACTAGAATCTTAAAATAATCATCATTTTATTGAACATGTTATATACCAATGAGTACCCTGAATTTTGTTATCTTAATTATGTCCTACTGAAACCAGCGCTTTTTCCTGTTGTTTCTACTGTCATGACCCAGTGTATTGTACCTGAAGCAGTTCTCAGAAAGACTTCTCCAAAATTATTTAACTCATATTTGCTTTTGGTAAAAGTAATATGAGGATACCATTTGTTTGTGCCAAATGCAGTGCATCTTTACTGTCTTGGAGATTTCCACCTGTAATCATAAACTGAAATAAAAAGAAATAGAACAAAATCACTTGAACAAGGCATTGACGACAATTTCCAAAGTATGCCTTCTCACCACTTTTTTTTTTATTTTTTTTCTTTTTAAAGACCATAGGTTAGTTTATTTTCAACACCCATCATGCCATGAATTCATAGGGAATAGGTTCCAGTAGCTCAGGCTCCTTTCCACTGGTTCTCACAAAGTGTGCTTCTCTGGGTGGAGGAGGCTGGAGCTTTAGTTGAACCCAGGTACCTTTCTCTTTGGCTTCCTTCTTTTTCTGGTCATTTTCCTTCTCACGTTTTAGGAAGCTATCTCTGCTCTTAGAATGCTTAATACACTCAATATGCACATTAATTTTCTTGGCAAGAATCTTGCCCTTGTTTGTTTATAACAATACCAACGGCATGCTGGTGACATTGTCGACTCTTCCAGTTTTGCCATGGTAACATTTGTGGGGCATTCCTTTTTGAACAGTACCCATTCCCTTGATGTCTACAGTATCACCATTCTCATAGATTCATATATGTGTTACCAAAAGAACCACTCCATGGTTTCTAAAAGGCCTAGAGAACATATATTGGGTGCCTCTCTCCCTTTGTGTTCGTCATTTTGTTTAATTACTGGAAGATGGAGCTTCCAGCCAAAAGGATGGCCCACTTCTTATTTTATTAAAGTCTTTTTTTGAGGGGTCAGTAGGTGGCATGGTGGTTAAGGCACTACACTCCCACATGGTTGATCATGGTTCAAGTCTCAGACCAGGTGGCTTACTTTCTCACTTTCTTTCTCTCTCTCTATAGTTGAACTTGAAAATAACAATAATAATAAGTAATTTTTAAAAATAAAATAAAGTCTTTTTTGATCTAGGGTGGTACGCTTATCAAAGAGACAGAGAGACAGAAAGTAAGAAAACATTGGCCACACCTCAATCCCTTCTCCACCATTCTCCTCTCAGGACTTTGGGCACACACAAGTGCCCAGTGTTTTTTCTTCAAGCCACTGGGTCCGGGATTTGAACCATACACTCAGTCATGTGAGATCCAATGCCTTAACCACTATGTCACCGGCTCACCCCTCACTGCTTCTTTATTCAAGAATACTTTTTCCTCTGTGATGGTCACATACCTAACGTTCCTTTAATATTCAGAAGATCACCTCCTATGTAGTGTTAACTGACTACAAACACACATATACCCACAAGTACGCTCTCTCTCACCTCACAATAGAATCCACCAGTCCTCCCTATTAAAAATGTATTTACATGTCTGTCTTTTCTATTAGACCTGAGCTCCTTGAGGACAGAGATCATGTGTTCGAAACACTGAGTAACTAAAAACGTGAAAGTTCAGAATTCTTTTCATCTAGTCATTGATTCAGTAGTGTTAATTCAACAGTTCTCCTGGTGTAGCCTGGGAACTCCCAGAAGATATGTGAGCTCAGACTATTACCAGCATAATATAGGATGCTATTTGTCTTTTTCACTCCCGTTCTATCACAAGTGGACGGTGATATATATTCCAGAGACGACATGTGTGATTTCACAACAGGTCAACTACACAAACAGGAAAACTCAGCAGTCTCCTATTCATTAAAGAGATTTGAAAAAAAAAATGTAAATTAACTCCACTAATACTGTTATTTTTGTTTGTTTTGGAAAACTTATTTTTCATAAAAATGCAAACTGTATAAACTTGAAATAAGAGAAATTATATACTATTATTTGAATTCCTGGGGACTTGCACAGTGTATGGTCTACACAATATATATTTAATAAAATGATCTTTCAAAGCTTAAGTTTAAAAAAATAAAAAGCAACTCATATCTTAAACACATTTAAAATACAATAAAACAAAATAAAAGTGCAATTTGTTATATAGTAGCTCATTGTTATTTTTAAAATGACTTATAAGATATTTTAAAACTGGGACCAGCAGATGACACAAGGGTTATGTTGCTAGACTTCCACGTAGTCAGCTATGATTCGAGTCCCAGACTTGGTGGCTTGAAACTCATGCCAGGGGTGTGTGTGTGTGTGTGTGTGTGTGTGGGTGTGTGCATGCCCAAAATCCCAAGAGAAGAATGGAGGAGAAGGGATTGTAGTGTGGCCATTTCCCCTGGGTAGTGATTTCTTGCTTTCTCTCTGTCTGTCTTTCCAACAAGCACATGCACCCTATAGCAAAAATCCCTCTTCAAAATATAAAGTCTCTGGGACCAGCAGTTAGCGTAATGGCTATGCCACTGGACTCCCATGTAGTTGACCGTGGTTCAAGTCCCGTACCTGGTGGCTTAAAACTCAAGCCAGGCACGTGTGCGTGCGCGCCCAGGATTCTGAGAGGAGAATGGAGGAAAAGGGATTGCGGTGTGGCCATCCCCCCTGGGGGGTGATTTCTCACTTTCTGTCTCTCTGTCTCTCTCTGTCTGGCGAGCGCACATACCCTACAGCAAAAACCTCTCCAAAAAAAAAAAAAAAAAAGTCTCCATCTTAACTTCTGATACAGTATATATCGATAGATATATCAAGAGATAAAATCCACATACACAAAAGCTCTTTGGAGATTCTTAACAATATTAAAGAATGTGAAGGGGCTCTGAGATAAAAAGTTTGAAAATCACTGAGTTAATGTATACTAATGAATTCTCCATAGGAAAATGTATGGTTCTTGGGAAACAAGCATACTTTTACAGAAAGCCATTAGAATTCACCCAAAGGTGGGACCAGCAGTTAGTGTAATGGCTATGTCACTGAACTCCCATGTAGCTGACTGCGGTTCAAGTCCCAGACCCAGTGGCTTAAACTCACGTTGGGTGCGTGTGCATGCGTGCCCAAGATCCCGAGAGGAGAATGGAGGAGAAGAAGGGATTGCGGTTTGGCCATCCCCCCTGGGGGTATGATTTCTCACTTTCTATCTCTCTGTCTCTCTCTGCCATTACGAGCACACGCATCCTATAGCAAAAACCTCTACAAAAATAAATAAATTAAATTAAATAAGAATTCACCCAAAGGTTAGAATGCCATTTTTGCTCATCCATTAAAATGAAAATGTCACTAAGGAACTAGGTGTTGATAGGGACTACTGGAGATCACACTGCTGAAGGTACATATACTTTTTTAAAGTTATTTAATTTTATTATTAATAATAAAATTATTATTATTGGTATTTTAAATTTGACCAGAGAGAGGGAAGGAAAATGAGAAAGAAAGTCAACAGGTCCAGGAATCGAATCGTGGTCAGCCACTGATAATGTATTTTTAAAGTATACTGTAAAAGTCTCACAAAGCTAAAAATGAAGATTTATTCTAGGTACATACCAAAAAAGAGGACATAAAAAAACAAAGGTGGGGGACCAGCAGTTAGCACAATGGCTATGTTGCTGGACTCCCATGTAGTCAACAGTAGCTCGAGTCCCGGACCTGGCGGCTTAAACTCATGCCAGGCGCGTGTGCGTGTGTGTGTGCCCAAGATCCTGAGAGGAGAATGGAGAAGGGATCGCAGCATGGCCATCCCCCCTGGGGGGTGATTTCTCACTTTCTGTCTCTCTGTCTTTCTGGCAAGCGCACATGTGCCCTATAGCAAAAACCTCTCCAAAACAAACAAACAAACAAAAAAACCCCACAGAGGTGGGATTGCAAATGCTAAAAAAAGACATTTTCATGTTAACAACTTAAACTCTAATATGGGGAGGCAGTCTCTCCAGCTTCAGGCTGCAGTGATTCATGTCCCGGGCACCCCAGAGCCACAGTCACTGGGCCCTAGCCCAGGGTCCTAAGCTGTGCACAATGCAAGATGTTCAGGCACAGCCTGAAAAACTGGGATGCTTAAACGAGACAACTGCAAGAAACTGTCACAAACGTGGAGAAGCATTTTGGATAGCTCTGCCAAGTCTTTGCTCCTATAAAAGGAAATCTGCCAGGCTGTGAGACAAAGCAGACCTCCTGGTGAATGAAATCAACACATATGCTTCTGCAATTCAGGCCCCAATTTAAAGCTGGGCCTGTAAAACTTTACTGATGAGTTTGCCAAACTTTGGGATTATCGACAAGCCAAAGTTGAAAGACTTGAAGCCGCTAGAGTAGTTGAATATTTGAAAGCTTATAAAATGGGATGACCTCAAACATTAACAGCAAGAAATGGAGAAGCTAAGCAGTTAACTCAGGTAACTCAGTCAGCAATACCCATTTGACCAACATGTTATTTCATAGGCAGAAAACCAATTACAGAGAGCTACAATGGATGCTATTGGAACAATGTGTCACAGGAGGTAACTATTGACAATTTTAAAAAGCCAAAAATAAAGGATGTAAGGACTATATTTTCAGATTTATCACAATTAGAATATTTCACAGCAAAGCTTTAGAGGTATACATTGCTGTCTACCAAAATATACAAAAGATTGATGAGGATGAAGATTTAAAGGTTTTCTGAAATTCTCTGTAGCCACAAGATTAGTCATCTCATTTACATATTGATAGGAGCAAATTCAAAGTCACCTCTTCAGAGATCGCTGTCAGCTAAATGTGTATCTGGATCAGCACAGGTATCCACCTGCCGACTAAGAAAGTATCAACAGCAGAGGATGAGAATGCTGATGATCATGATGATGATGAAGAGTTGGACGTTACATAAGAAGAAAATTAATTTTCTTAAGTCAACTTCACATTTCCATTTTCATCTTAAATGACTTGCAATACAGGATCACTATTGGGTTATCAGAAAAGTCATGACACATTTGTGCATAGAAAAATAAGTCACGGCTTTTCTGACTACCCAATGAATTGTAAAACTTTATACTCATTTGAAACATTAAAGCTCAAAATGAAACCCCACAAATGGAAAAATAAGGAAACTTACGCTGCTCAAAAATGAAGGTTTTAAAATATCTTATATAACACGTGGACCAGCAGATGACGTAATGGCTACATCTCTGGACTCCCATGTAGTTAACCACAGTTCAAGTCCTAGACTCAGAGGTTTAAAATTCACACCAGTTATGTGTGTGTACATGCCCAGAATCCCAAGAGAATGGAGGAGAAGGGATTGAGGCATGGCCATCCTGCAGGGAGGTGATTTCTCGCTTTCTATCTCTCTGTCTCTCTCTCTCTCCAGCAAATGCACACACTCTATAGCAAAAAATGTCTCTTAAAATAACTTACGCAACAGGGAACCAGCAGTTAGTATAATGGCTATGTTGCTGGACTCCCATGTAGTCGACCGCGGTTTGCATCCCGAGCCCGGTGGCTTAGAACTCATGCCGGGCGCGTGTTGTGTGCGTGCCCAAGATCCCGAGAGGAGACTGGAGGAAGAAGGGATTGCGGCACGACCATCCCCCCTGGGGGGTGATTTCTTGCTTTCTGTCTCTATGTCTCTCTCTGTCTGTCTGGCGAGCGCACGCGCCCTATAGCAAAAACCTCTCAAAACAAAACAAAACAAGAAAAATAACTTACGCAACAGTCATTTCAATATCCTATTTGACAGTTTATGGTCTTTTTATATGTTCTACTTAAAAATAAAAGAAAAACCAAAGAACAACAAAGAACAGATGTTACCTTTTTAACACCAATCTGCACAGCTCTCTCTATTACATCCTGTAAGTCATCTGCAAAAGACAAACCCCACATGTAAAAAAAAATGTGGAAAATAAAATTAAGAACCAGCTGCTATGGTGTGGCTGGTACCATACCATACAAGCTGCAAAGCTGAAAGCCACATGCCACATGCCAACCACAATACGAGTCCCCAGCCAAGTTGTCCTGAAAATATGCAAGGGTACAAGCACATGCCCAGGATCCTGGCAGGCTGGAAGACTGGAGGAAAGGGATAATGGCATGACCAAGCTCTGTGAAGGGTTTTCCTTTTTTTTAAAATAAAAAACAAATCATGAAGATTGTTTATTTTTTTTTTCTACTAGAGTATACCTGCATTGTCTCTTGAAAGATGACTTAATTTTTTTTTTTTGCAAAATTTCAGTTAATACGTCTAGAATTACTATCCTTGTTGAGAAATTATCATTTTTTTCCCTCTGACAGCTGTTTTTTGCTTTTCCCCAAGACTCATTGTTAAATAATGATAAACTTCTCTGGGGGATCAATATTAACTATTAAGCTCTGAGAGGCCAGATATAAATGATCACCAAAATAAAACAATTATATCATAAAACAAACTCACTTATTAATTTCACATTCAAGTTATCACAGTAAATGTAATTAAAATGCAGTTTCTATTATTCCTAAAGTTGCTCACAAAAGAATCAACTTCAGTTAACTTATACTAAATATGGCAGCCAGTTCTGCTACATATTATAAAATGCAATCCAGCAAAGCTTATTTCACAAGCACAAATATACAAACGCACACACTTACATAGTCACAAAGCATGACATCTATTAAAGGCTCCAAAGGCAAGAAAAGGAACTATTCAACAGTCCAACTATACTATGTGACACATGAAAATATCACACAACATTCTAAAAGAAATAGAAAAGGTGTGTTTTGAAATAAGGCATAAGAAAGCTAACATTTAAATTCCTTCTTTCAAGTAACATTAATATTCCCTGTATTTAGAGGGGCTGCCAGCAGGTGGCATGATGGTTAAAGGCACTGGACTCCCACATGGCCTATCATGCTTCAAGTCCTGGACTGGGTGGTTTCCTTTCTCACTTTCTCTCTCTCTCTCTCTCATCAAACTGGAAAACAATAATAATAATAAATAAAGTTAAAATAAAATAATCTATAAAAATATTTTCTATATTTAGAGAAGTATTTGCCTACTCCTACCCAGAAGCACAGTAAGATTAGCTTCTGACTTAGCTTGTTGAAACGTGGAGTTCTACATTATCTTTACCAACCAAACCACATTTTCCTGTCTGTACTTATATATAACAAGTATAGTCAATTTTCAGAGGCAATAGTCACAGACTGCCCTTTGGGTCAGTCTATAAATTCTGCTTTCAGAGACTCATCCGCCATCATCAGCTTCATCACCTCTGGGCCAGTAAAACAGGCCTTTTAAATGACCTTATGTGAGCCACTCTGCTTTCTAGCAATCTTCAAGGCACTACCAGCTACTATTCAATAGGCTCTCATTAGGGGCTTAGATGGAAGGGGGGAAAGGCCAGATAGGGAAGGGAGATGGGCATGTGCCTCCTACTTAACCACACTGCTGCTTTCTTACCAGCTGAAAATGCTTTTGAAAAACTATATATACTGATGTCACACAGTAAGTAATTTCTGGATTATATGCCCTACTGTTCAAATTCTTACAGGACTAAACATCAACCACTGTTTGGGTTTTGTGCATATAGTTATTTAAAGTTCCTGTATTTTAAATTATAAATTTCTATAGATAAGAAAAGTTGATTTAAACACTGTAGTAATTGGTGCTTTATAAATGTTTACTAGCATGGCTTACTAATACAGCTTGTATGGGCTTCATTTTATTTATTGTTTTATCCAAGAAGTGTGATAGTATTTCAACACAAACAGTAAATTGTGCTTTTCAAGATCTTCTTGAGGCAGTAAATTTGTCTTCATAGATGAAGTATTTACCTACCGAAAGAAACATTTACCTTGATGCTTTTGAACCCCCCTATAAATTCCTCTGAACATAGGATCTGTCAAGTTGATACCAATATCTGTGGAAAACAAAAATAAAATAACTGATTAAACATTAAGAGCCTCTCTTTGAAATGTTTACTTTAAATAAAAGTTCTTGTTCTTAAACTTTTAATTCATACATTTATTCACTCAAACAATATTTAAGTGCCTATCACCTGTCAGGAGCTATGCTAGATATGTGGGATACAAGGTCAGTAACATACAATTCCTGCTCTCAAGAAACACAGTGCAGGATACATAGGCAGACCCATTAACACACCTTTATAAAAAATAAATACTGTACTATGGGGCACAGAAGACGAACACCTAACTTCATCTGGTTGCTAGCTCAGAAGAGGCTTCCCAAACCAATTCCTGAACTGAATCTGAAAGGATGAGCTAGGTAACAGAGGAGAGAGGTAACTACAGACAGGAGGCAGTAGGAGCAAAGCCTCCAGGGTATAGAATAGTGCTTGCAAAGAACTGTCAGCTGCTCTAGCTGCTAGGAAGAGTGGCCAAAGAGGCCTGCTATGGTATGGATAATGGCTTATGCATCAAAGGTTCATTTTGGAACGTGGTCCCTAGTGTAATAGCATTGGATGATGATAAAGCCATTAAGAGATAAGGCTAGGCGGGCAGTAATTGGATCATAGATGTATCATCCTCATGAACAGAATGTCTTGAAAGAGTGGATTCTAGCTGTAATGAGAAGGGATTAGTTCCTGTGGGAGTGGACTGGATGATGGAAGCCCTTTGGGTCAGACTATAAAACACCCACCATTTTCCCTGATTTTTTTTTTAAAGAATTGTTTATTTTATTTTACTTGCTATTATTATTTTAATTTGACCAGAGAGAGAAAAAGTGAGAAAGCAAGCCACCAGGACTGGGACTTGAACCATGGTCAGCCATGTGGGAGTCCAGCAATTTAACCACCATGCCACTTGGTGGCCCCATTCTCTGTTTTGATCAGTCATGCTGTGACACAACCATTCTGACAATAGTTCCATGCCTTTGGATTTTCCAGTCACCAGAATCATAAGTCAAATAAACCTTAGTTCTTTTTTGGGGGAGAGGTTTTCGCTATAGGGGGCACGTGCGCTTGCCAGACAGACAGAGAGAGACATAAAGACAGAAAGCGAGAAATCACCCCCCAGGGGGGATGGTCATGCCACAATCCCTTCTCTTCCATTCTCCTCTCGGGATCTTGGGCACGCACGCACATGCACCCGGCGTGAGTTCTAAGCCACCGGGTCTGGGACGCGAACCGCAGTCGACTACGTGGGAGTCCAGCGACATAGCCATTATGCTAGCTGCTGGTCCCAATAAACCTTAGTTCTTTATAATCGCCCAGTCTTGGGTATTTTTGTAAACAACAGAAGACTAGAGAAGACTAGACCCAGCTACCTTATGGACATTTGTCTTAAAAAACAAACAAACAAACTGGCAAGAGCTCTTACCGTCTATGAAGACAACCTGAATAAGGTAATGGAAATGGAGATACAGAAAAAGGGCTAAGTTATTTCCTCTATTCATCAAATACTTGTGAAGACCAATCCTATGCCAAGTACTATGTAAGGAGTGAGAGTATGCAAATGAGTAAGATCCAACACTTGGTCCCTGCCCTCTAGGAATTTAGTCTATATGGCAACTACAACTAACAAATAATTTGCAACATGGGATGAGAAGTCATGTTTATCTTCTTCATTGCTGATTCCCTAGAATCTAGCTTTTTGGTTGGCGTATAACAGATTTATCCACATTTATTTAGTCTATAAATAATTGAGTACATGAGAGCACATAGGAGGAGCAAAACAGTTTTGGCAGGGGTGATAAGAAAAGCTTCACAGGGGACCAACAGATGCCATAATGGTTATGTTGCTGGACTCCCATGTAGTCAACTGTGGTTCGAGTCCCAGACTCAGTGGGTTAAAACTCACACCAGGCATGTGTGCATGCATGCCCCAAATCCTGAGAGAATGGAGGAAAAGGGATTGTGGTGTGGTCATCCTCCCTGAGGGGTGATTTCTGGCTTTCTGTCTCTCTGGTGAGCACACATCCCCTATAGCAAAAATCTCTCTCTCAAAAACAAAAAGCTTGGTGGGAACCAGCAGTTAGCGTAATGGCTATGTCGCTGGACTCCCACGTAGTCGACTGCGGTTCGTGTCCCGGACCCGGTGGCTTAAAACTCACGCCGGGCGCGTGTGCGTGCGTGCCCAAGATCCTGAGAGGAGAATGGAGGAGAAGGGATTGCGGCGTGACCATCCCCCCTGGGGGGTGATTTCTCGCTTTCTGTCTCTATGTCTCTCTCTGTCTGTCTGGCGAGCGCACGCGACACGCACCCTATAGTGAAAATCTCTCAAAAAAAAAAAAGCTTCACAGAAGAGCTTGATCTTAAAGAAAGAGTTAGGCCTAGGGAAAAGGCATAGTATATACAGATTTGTGCAGGGACAACTGTATCTAGAAAATTGGAAGAGCTTCTTAGTACCTGCAGAGCAGTGGTTTTTAATGAAGAGCAATTTTGCAGCACTTCTCTACATCCCCCTTTGCCCAGCCTCAACATCTGGCAAAGTCTGTATATATATTTGGTTATCACAACTAAAGGAAGTGTTACTGGGATCAATCGTTGAGACCATGGATGCTGCCAATTGTCCTATAATGCATGGCACAACCTCCTACAACAAAGAATTGTCCAATCCAAAAATATTAAGCAACACCCTTGGTAAGTCTTGTTGTAGAATACAAAACAAGGGTCTAGGACCCGGTGACTTAGAACTCACGCCAGGCGCGTGTTCGTGCGTGCCCAAGATCCTGAGAGGAGACTGGAGGAGAAGGGATTGCGGCGTGACCATCCTCCCTGGGGCATGATTTCTCACTTTCTGTCTCTATGTCTCTTTCTGTCTGGCGAGTGCACGCGCCCTATAGTGAAAAAACTCTCAAAAAAAAAAAAAAGATAAAATCTAATATTCTAAATATAATATGGGGTTCAGTGGGGTGGTCCAGATCAGAAGAAACCACTATCTAGTTTCAAGTATGGAGAGAGAAACAGAGGAAGAAAGGGGCAGATTAGAAAGGAAACTCAGGAAAGAGAAGCCTTTCTCCCTAAAAAACCCATCACAGGGCTTCAGTCTAAGGTCACTCACTATTGCTAATCATTAAGAAAACAGAAATGGTATCTCTTCTAGTCCATTTCCCCTTCGTGCAGAGTTAAAGACACTTGTTAAAAACAGCAAGGATGCCTCTATTCAAGAGGAACCACTACATTGAGGGTTTTGCTGTATGGGAGAGATTAGGCTTAACTCCAAAAAAAATAAGGACAAGTGCGGATTTATAGCCAGCGAGCAGAGCAGGTCATGAAAAGGAAAACTGCTAAGAGGAAACATTACAGGTTAGGAAAGATTCTGGCTGAAGGTAGGCCAGAGTGATAGGATTTCAAGAGTGGTATGAGAGAGGAGGAACTGATTGGAAATCGAGATGTGGATTTTCACTGAACTCACCCAGCAGAATTCTTGCTAAAATGGAACCAAGCCAGCCAAAAACGACCAAGGGAGCCAAGAACAGAGAATGGTCATGCCGCAATACCTTTTCCTCCAACCTCCTCCCGGGATCTTGAGCACACATACACATGCACCTGGCATGACTTTCAAGCCACTAGATCCAGGACTCAAACCGTGGTCAGCCATGTGGGAGTCCAGTAACATAACCGCTACACTATCTGCTAGTTCCTTTTTGGACAATTATTTATTCTAATAAACTCACCTTCTTTAAGAAGTCTTTTCAGGACCAGCTGTTAGCGCAATGGCTATGTCACTGGACTCCCATGTAGTTGACCGTGGTTCGAGTCCTGACCTGACCTCATGTCAGACGCATGTGGGTGCATGCCCAAGATCCTGAGAGGAGAATGGAGGAAGAGGGATTGCGGCGTGGCCATCCCCCTGGGGGGTGATTTCTCGCTTTCTGTCTGTCTCTCCCTGTCTTTCCAGCAAGCGCATGCGCCCTATAATAAAAACCTCTCAAAAAGAGTCTTTTTCAGCTTATTGTCTCAGATTTTGATTCTATTAGCAATACTGTTAACAGCTCAGCACTAAAACAACATATATTCTTTTACCCACACGGTCATACATGCACAATACCCCCCCCCCCCCCCCCCGAAATAGATACATATAGACAGTGCCTGACTTAAGATGATGAGAAAGTCATAGACATTCAGGAGAAACCACACTTTAGGTACTCATACATAATTTTGTTTTTTACTTTCAGTACAGTATTTAGAACATGAGATATTTGACAATTATAAAATAAACTTTGTATTAGATGATTTTGCCCAATTGCTGGTTAATGTAAGTGTTCTGAGAAAGTTTAAGGTATTGTAGGCTACACTGTGATGTTCACTAGGTTAGGTGTATTAAGTGTATTTTAATCCCATGGCATTCGCAACTTATAATGGGTTTATCAGACGTAACCCCATCATAAGTTGAGGAGCATCTGTCTGTTGAGGCAGATGCTGATTGAGCCAATTCCAGGTGATCCCACTTCCTCTTAGAATAGTCTTCAGGAAGGTCGAACCTTCAGGCCCAGGGTCACAGGGTACTTAAATTGCCTTTAAAAAGTCTAGTCTAGTGGGTAAATCAGATACAAGAACATTTAATTATAAAGAATGCAGGAGGACCAGCACATGGTATAATGGCTACATAGCTGGACTCCCATATAGCCGACCGCGGTTCGAGTCTCGGACCCAGTGGCTTAAACTCACGCCAGGCACGTGTGTGTGCATGCTTAAGATTCCGAGGAGAATGGATAAGGGGTTGCAGCGTGGCCATCCCCCATGGGAGGTGACTTCTCGCTTTCTGTCTCTGTCTCGCTCTTTCTCGAGAGCACATGCGCCCTATAGCAAAAACCTCTCCAGAAAGAGAAAAGAAAACAGCACAAGCCACTATTGGACCTTCACGTGAATTTTCACAAATAAATACACGTGAAACTGGCACCAAAATCAAACACTTGAACCTTCGTCCGGACACCCAGAGGCCTCCCAGCACCCTCTTCCCTTGGGTTGCCCTTTCAACCCTCAAAAAACCGGGGAGTCCAGCTCCTGGGCCCTCGGGCCGTGGTGAGCGACGCCAGAGACCGGTCAGTACGGCGCAGGGACTGCAAGAAGCCCCTCTTACCGATGAACTTAAAGCGACTCATGACAGCAAGACGCAACTCCTCCCCCTCGGCGGAAGCGGAAGTAGCTGTCGGCCGCCCTCTCTTCCAGCCGCGTCTCCCCGCCCCCAGTCGCAGGCCGCGGTTTCCCGGCAGCCCCCGCGGCCCCTGAAGGTGAGCCGCCGTCATGGCGTTCTCGGCGCCGGG